TTTATCAGGTTATGGAAGCCGTAGGTAAGGTTTAATAGCCCATGGTGGTCAGGTTCTCCAAGATCTTTCGGGCTGAGCTTGACCCTCAGGGACATCCCGTCACCTACGCCAGGCCGGCTGTAGAGAAGGACCTTCTTAGGGTTATATAATAGGGTATGTATATATATATATAGGGGTTATATAGGGATAATGGAAAACAAAATGGAAGCTTTTGTTCTGGCAGCACAGGTTTAGGGCCCAAGGCTTCAGGTGTTATGACCTTGGGGCTTGGAGTTTAAGATGAGGTTCCAGAATTTCCTAGCTTTTAGTAGTTTTAAGGCGCTCGAAGGTTCTGAGCCTTTGTGTTTTGGAATGCTTTCGGATTCAGGCTTGAGGCCGTGCAGTATAGGTTCCCTCGTGGAGCAACACTTTTCTGGTCGAGTGCTAAATGACGGAGCAGAAGGTTCGCAAATGATGCGATGAGCTAAGGTTCAGGATTTGAGGTTTGGGAATCGGGGTTAGTGTCCAAAGTGCGACACAAGATTCATAACTGTAATCTACCAGACTCCTTGTCAACTTGCTGCGCTCGAAACCTTAACTGCAGCTCTTACGTACTACGGCAAAGCAACAAACATGGGTTCTGTAAGGGAGGAGTCTTGCACATGTTGTTGCCCCTGTGTTTGCCGTTCCTTGGCCTCCAGCACTGATCACCTCCACTAATAACAAGATGACCCACGCACCCTCATACGTAAGGCCAACATGTGCATTCGACAGTGTGCGTGGGATCGTGAGATCGTACTCCTTACTTTTTCAGACGGTGTGTTGGATTCACGATGCAAAACGGTATTTTTCAAGCTCACAATCCTGTCCTGTGCCAAGGCAAGCTTTGTGAGGATGTAATCATTAAACACCCTCCTGCAAATGATGCATATGATATTCTCTAGAATCTGGAATGTAGAAAGTACAAGCATGCAATATGGTGCAAAAACATGTCATATGATCAGACAGTAGTAGGATTACTACTTTCATGAGGACGGGTGCAGGGAGGAGGAGGCAGCTGTGTCATTTTATTCGGCAATTGAAGATGGTGTCTGGCAGATTCCGGCGATACATGTTCCGCATGCTGGACGCGACGGACACAGACGAGCCCACACAGGCCCATCCTATGCAAAGCACAGTCAACTAGGATGCCACGTGTTTACAAGAGGCGTTGTGTGCAGGGGCTTTGGGCTGAGCATTCTAGGATAAGTATTCCTCCAATCTGGGTGTTACGATGCCAAAACTCAGCTACGTGAAATTTCAGTGAACAATGTTCTGAATGCCTGGAAGAAGCAGTTCCTGCGACCATTACGGAGTTCATGGATTTGAGCTTGCGGGTTTAGGTTTGGGGATTCAGGGCTGAGGGTTTGGGGTTCTAGGAGCCTCCCAGGGTTCATTCCACGCTAGTTATGTCCCTGCCGCCCTCCCGCTCGCAGGCAAGAATCCCATCCAGCGTCAAGCCAAATTATGCCTACCAGGTTAAGGTTGAACGGACAAAAGTTTTTGGTTTTGGGCTTAGCGCCTGAGAGGTTTGACATCCGTGCTATCTTCGTGTTAAGAAGGGAAGCTGATGGGGGGCCACCTACTTGCATCTCCAGGATTATCTTATCAGGATTCATCGGTGCAACGTGGCAAGACCTACTTGGACTTAGATTTGAATTCTGGAGACATCCTTCATGAACTCGTTAAGGCCCTGAACCACTAAGTGTTTTATCAAGCAGAAGTCCTAAACTCCTTCGCTCACATCTCCATGACGTCTTTCGCAAGTGCTAACATGCGAGATGTTTTTGCAGCTCCTTTGGCCCTCAACCTTCAAGTGATGTGGGTTTCTGCACATGAATTCCAGTATTTGGGGCTTGCAGTGTTTTGGGGAAAATACAGCCTTTGAAGACGGCGCAGCTTCATTCTTGAGCATTCCAGAAAAATTGCATTCTGCCCCAAGTTGTGCAGGCCATGATTCTGGATCACTTCATCGCAGAGGTGGGGAAACAAGAAATCGTTGTCCTGAATTACACAGCCGCCTGCTTACAGGACTTGCGCACCGTGCTGACAAGGGGGTGAGCACAGATACCACGTGTTGTATACTTATCCTGAAAGAAGCTCATTTAAGCATTTCTGTGGTTGTTAGTAGGGAATATGTGAGTATAATCCCTATCTACTCCTTA